GATCCTATTCGCACTGCTTAAACTTCCTCAGGGATTTGTGTTCCATTCAATTTCTCGGCAGTAATATTTTGTACTGCCATCTGCAGGAAACTTGCAGATAGCAATTAATAATACATGTAACTATGACGATAGTTGGGTTTATTACTAAGTTTGAATAATTATCGGCAGATTATTCGCATAAATCTTTAATCATCCTAAATGGTTTTATCCATTTGTCCATCCATTCGCGTTCCTATTCGGACTGTTTCAACTCCCTTAGGCATTTGCCTTCCATCATGATTTTAATTTCTCGGTAGCAATTATCCGTACTGCCAACTGCCATATGCAAGAGGTTTAAATTCGAAAATTCCTAAAAAATAAAGAGAAGGAAAGTTTCTCAGTCAATACGCAAGTTCTTAGTTTAAATTAGTAAAGCGAACTGAATCGTTGAAGAAATCCGAGAATGATCCATATCAACTAACAAGTCACTTCTGCAAAGAACCTGTATTGCTGAAAAGCGTTGCTGTGTGACATCTTGATCTTCAACCGATTATATTTACTCAAAAGCTACGTAATTGCCATGAAAAGTAAATTTGTCGATATACCCAAACTGAGGCAGTTGTTTGTTGGGGAAAAAGCTGACTAAAACTAAACAAATATCTTACTTTATTAGCGCAATAACCACAGCAGCAGATACAAACAAGAAGTGTGGAATCAAAAAAGAGTAAACTCCTTCATTGCGAAAATACAAAAAATGAACAGATATATAAAGAGGTGGATACAAAAGTAGAAAATATTACCAAAACAACAACAAAAAAGACAGAAGATCTTTCGAAAATCGCTGCGTTAGAAATGCACAAAAACGTACTCACTGAACAAACCATCCAACCGCTCATCATCCATTCACCCAGAGGTTTTTCGTTGGGGAGTTTAAAGGAATTTAAAAGTGTTTAGTGATATTTAAACGTTTTTTCTTTTTCGCAAATAAATAACAAAAACCCATTTAAACAAATAACAGGTATGGGTGTGAAACGGTAAATATTATTAAGAAGGACTACTTTCCCTTCACAATCCCCACTCAGAAATGAGTAATGGTAAAACTGACCTTTCGATGAGACAGAAGCAGGTATCATGATATACCAAAGTAACAGAACTAAGATAAAAGTCGAATTCTTCATATCACAGATCGCTTTCTGAAACCGACTTCACAAAAAGTATGCAAATGATTGTAAAATATCTCATTCAATTTGTTTTCCTTGTGGTAACCACTTTCTAATTTTTTTTTTGACCAATAAGACCTGGATGTCACGTTATCTTTATTTATTCTTCCAGCAGGTATTCAATTAATTGGGAGAAAATAAATTATTCATTTTACTTTACCAAGCTTCCCAATGACCTAATTAACAACTGTTTGGTTTTATAAACTCAATTTAAATTTTTAAATTGGCTACCGTAAAGAGTTAAAAAGCTGACATTTCGAGCGTTGGCCCTTCGTCAGAACGAATGGCGACAGGGTAACGCTCGAAACGTCAGCTTCTTAACTCTCTGCGGTGGCAAATTTATAGTTTCAACTTAGCGAATAAACCCAAATTAACTTGTTACCCCCATTGACGCAGCACCACAATTTCTTTATAAACTTATTCCCTTAATTCATTTACCGACCTATTGGTCGGGAGTAAGATATGCCTCGGTATGAAACTTGGCCATCAAAAATAGCTTATCTTTATAGAAAAGCATGCCATGAGAGAGAG